TGTAATTATAATTAGCCAATAATAATATAAAATAATTTTTATCATTTAAAATAATAATATAAGTTGTAATAAGTGTTCTAAGGTTAATACAGCTACAAAAAATGAAATCTTATGAAAATTAATATTCAAGTGGTTTCAACCTGCCTGAACAACTTTCAATTAATAAATGAAGTTGATTTCATTTGTCCAAAGTGGAGATATTATGCTCTAAATTAAAAAAAAAAGAAAAGAGAGTTAATATCATCAAGAAAAATGCAAATTTCTTTAAACACTACACTTACATTCATGAAAATTAATATTCAAGTGATTTCAACCTGCCTGAACAACTTTCAATTAATAAATGAAGTTGATTTCATTTGTCCAAAATGGAGATATTACGCTCTAAATTAAAAAAAAGAGAAAAGAGAGTTAATATCATCAAGAAAAATGCAATTTTCTCTAAACACTATACCTACATTCATGAAAATTAATATTCAGGTGATTTCAACCTGCCTGAACAACTTTCAATTAATAAATGAAGTTGATTTCATTTGTCCAAAGTGGAGATATTACGCTCTAAATTAAAAAAAAGAAAAGAGAGTTAATATCATCAAGAAAAATGCAATTTTCTTTAAGCACTATACCTACATTTATGAAAATTAATATTCAGTGATTTCAACATGCCTGAATAACTTTTAATTAATAAATGAAGTTGATTTTATTTGGTGAAAAAAGAAGTTTAATTTAAAAAAATTTATATAAAAAATAAATGTAATATAAAAATTAATAACTGAGATAACAAAAATATGAAAATAATCTGACATGAATTTTAAATTAATTTTTACATTAATTTATCCCTTAAAGTGTTTTGCAGCTAAATTTGGTTGCGATTTACCACTACTCATGTACCGATCTAAACTGTAATACAATGAAATTCCATGGAATCCTCTGTGGAAATTCTGAAAATTCTGCGAAATTTAAAACAATAACAATCATTTAAAGGATAAATTCAAGAGTTTAAAATAAAAATAGTAAGAAAAATATTTTTTATAAAATATTACATTATTTTCTAAAAGAAATACACTTATAAATTTAATTGTAATTATGTAATATCCAAATATTTAATCTTACAAATAGAAAAAAAATGTAAAAAAAATTTATGATGTTTTATAAAAAAAGAAAAAAATTTAAAAAAATTTTCACACATCATACCATTATTAGGCATGCCCGTACAATAACATATTTAAAAATTTTTGATAAAATTAATTAACCAAGATTGGATTAGCCACAAAAATCTGCATATGATCATGATATTTTAATATTTTATCTATAATAAATACGGAATAGATTGGATGTAATTATTCATACGAGAAATATATATATATATATATATCTAACACTTTTTTTAATTGATTATCACAAGATCTATATGATCATCTATACGTTTTTAATTTTTTAACGAAAAAGAAATATATTTAAAACTTTATTTAGTATTTCTTTGAAGATCAATAATGATCACCAAAATCAAATATGAATATAAAACTTATTGTTTGATGTCACAAGTTAATATGTAGTGAAAGTGGCACAAAAATGAATATTTTGTAATTTTATTCTAATGATATCAAAGAAGCAATATTGCAATATTGCAATAATAATATTCATAGTTATAGCAATAGCAATAGCAATAGCAATAGTAATTGCAATTGCAATTTATATAGCATAGCTATAAACTTCAACTACGAAGTTCACATGATGCATTTTCAAAAAAATGAAAATCTGCATGAAGATTAGAGGATCACTAACTAATTAAGCGAAAAAGTGAATAGATAAGAAAGGTTATGCAAGATCATCATTGCGTCAAGAGTATACTACCGCAAATTATATGTTGTAATATGTATTACTTGTATTCTGTAAATCTTATAAATAATGATAATTTAATCTTATATTTGAAAATCATATGATTAGACTATCAATTTGTTTTTCAATTTTAAAAGAAAAATTTAAGTTAAAATTAAAAGAAACTTTTTAATTAAACTATAATTTTTACTATAATTTATAACTTATCTATAAATTTTTTACTTGTAATTAATATTATTTGTTAAAGTAACTTATTACATGTTAATTAAGTAATATTATTGAATTAAATTTTTTAATTTAGATTAACTCAATTCGATTTGAGTTAAAATTTAGATTAATTTGACTCAATTCAAGTTAAAAGTTTTATTAAATTTAACTTGACTCAATTTGACTCAACTCTATTAAAAATTAACTCAACTCAATTCGACACAACTTATTTATAGGATAATTCAACTCAACTTGACTCATTAGGAGTTCTACTTTTAATAATATAATAATTGTCTGATTTTTGTATTTTTTATCTTTATAATATAATTTCTTTTAATATAATACCTGATTTAGTTTTATTTCTTTTTTCTAATATTTTATCTCTCATTTTTGATTATTTTCTTTGTAAAATTTTTAGGTGTTATTAATTAAAATAAAATCAAAAAAATTCATGATTGCATTGCAGTCTATATGGAAAGTTAAGGGTAAATTATTCTAATATATAATTTATATTTTAAAAAAGTAATATTGGTAATAAAAGAAATTAATAATATTATATATATCATATATATAATAAATATTTATTTTTGAAAAAAAATTTTATTTTTATTTTTTAAATTAAATTTTACTTTTTTCTTTTATCTTCCTTTTATACTTCCATTAATTTTATTGTTTTATTTTTTTATTCCTTTTTTTTTTTTTTTTTATTTCCTCTTTTTGTTTCTTTTTTATTTGTTTTTTTCTTTCATTTTTCTTTCTTTACTGATTTTTTCATTTTCTTTATTCTTTTTATTTATTTTTTTCATTTTTTGTTTTTTTGTTACTCTTATCTTAGCTTTTGACTATACATGCCACCCAAATTTTTTTGGGCTGCTGTGATTATAAGTAAAATCCTAAATTCAATTATGACATCCCAAATTATAATTATGATATCTCAAAATAATTTGGGCAGCATGTATACTTTCAACTGCATTTTTTTGTTTTTTACTTTTCTTTTTATTGCTATTTCTGATTTTTATTAATATATCTCTATTCAATGAATAATAAAATTTTTGTTAAAAATTACTACTGCAATTTTAAATTTTAAATAGATCAAATTATAGTTGATTTAATTTTGGCCAGAATTATGTACTAATTCTGGCCGGAATTATACAATTTCCTAAAAAGAAAAGTAGTATTACATAAGATTCCAAATGTGTACTTGAATTTTCACTCAAAAAGGAAATGATTAACATATAGTTTGGCCGGAATTATAAATTGTAAACTTGTTTGCACTTTAACATTAAATGCTTTACCTGTTAGTAAACTGTTTGCACTTTAACATTAAATGCTTTGCCTGTTAGTGAACGGTTTTACTTTAACATTAAATGCTTTACCTGTTGGTAAACAGTTTGCATTTTAGTATTAATGCTTTGCCTGTTAGCAAACTGTTTGCACTTTAATATTAAATGCTTTGCCTAACTTAATAAACTGTTTGCTCTTTATCATTAAATGCTTTACCTATTAACAAACTTTTGTGTAACATAACTGGAAAGTCAAACAATTTGACGATATTGGCAAAGGATATGACGGTATTGTCAAAGGATATGACTCTAAAGTCAAATGGTTTGACGGTAATGGCAAATCATTTTGACTTTACATTTAACCTTAAACGTTAAACAATATGTAGTTCACCTTTAAACTTCTGTCCAGCCTGGCATTCCATAAAAACCGCTTGTATTACAAAAAATATATTAACAGTCAAGTTTGTACTATCAAAGAAACAAATAAGTTATTTGTCCGTTGACCGTTAGATTTCATTTTGTGTGGAAAAAATTAACATTTGAATATAACCATATGTCTAGAGGATATGTGATTTAGTGGTGGTATTCTATATTCTTGGGAGACGCAGATTAGTAATCCAGCGTGCAAAATAAAGAGAAATAAGTTAGACTGGTACATTTGGTTATAGATTGACGAATATCTCTTTTTTTACATGAACTACTGCATACTCGAATTAATAGTTTCACCTTATCATATAATAATGTCCTTGCGAGCATAATGATGAACAAGCGTGAACATTTGCCTAAGTGTTATGTTCATCTTTTATGGATTGCGAATTAATGCTTATCCACATCAACAAAATGGTAAGTATAATCACATCATATATAATGTATCTTGAAGGAATACTCATTTATCATCGTTATTTATAGAAATATTCGGTTGAATAAACATTAATAAGCGGATGCAATCAAAAAATAGGATATGTATCTTATACAACCATTATATCTTTTAAGTGTTGCTTCGCTGGAACCCAATGATGCGTAACAGTGTGGTACAGAGATTTTTAGCTAAAAGCCACGTTATTGCACTATGTGTTTATAGTATGTATTCAACCACACTTATTTTCATTCATAATTACATCTACAGTAGATGTACCAGAAAGCATGTTTTAAGAATATCCTCGGGACGAAGAAAATTTCTCCTATGGAGTTTCGAAGAATAAAGGGGCATAGAACGTATCAATATAACTTAGTGGAACTGGCTAACAATAGTCTACATGCAAGTTCGTATTCGTGAAGCGATTCCCTTTGGGATTCCAATTTTCTACACATGGATGACGAATTTCCTCTTAAATATTATATCTCTTAAACAGAAGATTGTCGCAATTTAGCAAAAAATCTGATTCATATTTGGATCATTGTATACGATAATTCTTGTGAAAAATATTATAATAAAAATTATTCGCATATTAGGATCTTCGTCAGTGATAGATTGACAGAAAAAATCTGAAGATAGTGTTTGAAATATAAAAGTAACCCCATCTCAATCATAAACTATGTTTTGATTTTCAATTTCGAATTTATCACTTTGATGTGATGCGTATTACAAATAACCATCGGTATATAACTAGGAATCAGTTGAATTCCATTACTCATTATTTATTGTCAATAAATTATAAAGAAATCTACTTCGTACCCCTGGGTATATTTTTTTTTGAGTACAAAAATACGAAATAAAAAAACGAAAGGAATTAGAAGAAAAAAGACAGATACCGTATTTTACTAAACACTGTTAACCGTTACTCTAATAATATAAAAACGAAAATCATAAGATTATTTGGTAATCATTACAAATGACTATATTTACTGGAATTTATATCGTAATTGGACATATCTTGATCTTCTAATTCTTCTGTCATTGCACCTTTCTCGTTTTCTTTGGGATCAAAGTTCGTCTGCGATTTATTGTTTTCAGACTTAATAGGATCAATACTATTGAAGACTGAAATCACTTCGCAAATATCTGGTCTTTCATCTGGTTCACATTTCCAACATTCTGTTTAATTGATTAATAAGATTAGATGTAATTCCAATGGAACATTGCTCCGCAGTACTTCTTATACTTACTTTGATAAAGCGCAACGAATTTACTATTTGTGTCTGGCAAAGGATCTTCTCTTTTACCCTCAAAAATTTCATGCATGATTTCCAAATCATTTTTTTTCGGTTCATAATCAAAAGGTGATGAACGGCTTGTCAATTCCCAGAACACTAATGCCAAACTGTATATGTCAGATTTTTCAGTTAAATCACAAAACCCATAAAAAAATTTAGGATCCACGTAAGGTATTGTGCCACGTCGACCAGTGGATACTTTATCTCCTTGCAGTAGCGAGCAACCAAAATCGGCCAATTTTATCATTTGTTGATGTATCAAGATGTTATTGGGATTCTAAAAAGAATATGTTAAAGACGTGTTATAGAGAAACCTTCATTTGGGAGAACAAAATATAATTGTACTTACAATATCTCCGTGAATAATTTTATTACGATGTAAACAGGAAACTGCACCCGCAATTTCTTTAGCAAACTGTAATTGGCTTTCCCATTTAAAGGTTTCAGCGTTAGTCCTTAAGTAATTTCCCAATGTCCCACCGTTTGCGTGTTCAAGAACAAGCGAATAATTCGGTTTGCCTAAAAATAAAGATGTGTAAATGTACTTATTATCTTATGTATATTATGTAATTATTTTTTTACCTTGTAATTTCGTAACCCCATAAAATCGAATTATATTTGGGTGATGAGAAGCTATTTTCATAATCTTGATCTAGAAAGAAAGAATGGTAATATACAGTATAAGTAACCCGTAACGAAAAAGTTATGAAAATAAAACCATATCAGTAACGCACTTCATTAATGACTTCTTCTTCTTCAAGACTTTCGTTAAATATCTTAACCACATACTCCGCTAGCGTGTTATTACAGCAAGCAACCCGAACAGAAGCTGATCCTCCAGAGCCAATTATCTTGGGATGAATCTTGAGGTCATATTTAATTACGCCATCTAATATATTAATGCTTTTGTGTGTCTGTTTATGGAAGTCAAATTATCAGTTGGGTGTCACAGCCAATATTACAGCACAAGTATGGTATAGTAGACACTCTATATAAATAAAAAAATTTTTTAAAATAGACTCCAATGATATCTATATAAATAAAAAGTTTTTTAACGGAATAGACCTTAATACTCCGATGATTTTAAAGGAATTCTACATAAATAGAAATGATCTAACCGTCCAAATTCAAAAAGGGAAATGTAACAATGCTGAATGCTGCATGCTATTAACTGTATTAACTGAGCTTTGACTCAGTTCCATACTTGTGCAATAAAAAAAAAAACCATTTTATTCTCGAGGATTTTCTTTACAGGTTTCTGCAGCTTTTATTCTCCTTTTAGAAAAGATTTCTATGGCCGAATAATTTCCCCTTTAGAGACGGCTCTATGGCTGAACTATTCTCCTTTAGAAACAGCTTCTACGGAAATTCTTCTTTCTAGATACTATTTACTCGAAACTTTAAATTTGCTATTAGTATTATCAACGTAACTAGTGCCTCTTAAGTCTTTTCGCCAGTAGATACTGTCTTATATATTTTCGTTTTGGGACGTTGAAATCAAACCACAACAAATGGCTATAAGTTTTTGATGGAGGTGTATTTAAACTTAATAGACAGAAATAATGGAAATAATTTTTCAGCGAGCAAAAGAGTTATTAAGAAGACAGGTCAGTCCTATTTATAAAAAAATTGGAGTTACATGGGTATTATATCTGGAATGACATATTGCATATATGTATTACAAACTAAGAAGCATCAAAAGTAATACATATTAGTAAATTTACGCCTAAATAATCATGTGAATAAACATGGTTCAAAAAATTTTAACTTCGTAAAATAAAATACCTGAAAACTTATTCTACTATACTGGTAAATGATTTGTTGCAGACGTCTAATAAGAACGTTAATTCTTTAGAAACTATATAAACATTTTGACTTTTGTGCCGATACTTTTAGATGAAAAATGATGTTATTTTTTTGCGTTACATGAACGATCAAAAATTGTCCGCATTCTGTCACGTAGTACAACTATTCAACATTATCAACTCTGGGCCACTAGCTTTATTGACCAATAGATTTCCAGAGAATGCTCACGCAGTACAAAATGTTTATCCGGTAGTACGATTCACTGTATACAAAAAATACAACTACGAGACCGTGACCCAAGGGTCACAGTTGGCTTGTGAACAACCAATAATATGCATGCGCAGTCAATCTGTGGGATAATATTGTGCTTTTTGCTTGTTAATGATATAACAATTGATATACAAAAATTATAAGATAATATAGGTCCGGATAAAGTAGAAATACTAGTAAAAGATTAGAGACGAATGGACATAGTTCCATGGTTAAAATACGTATCGGGTAAATAGAATAATAGTGAAACCACTTATTTCAGCGTATCTGTTTCAACTATCAGGTTATTACAAGATATTACATGAAGGGTACGACAAATTTACACTTTAGCGCCCTTCAGGTGAATTTTGTATAAATCCACGTACTAATAATTTCTTTTCTAATCCGTTCCGTATTCTGTTAACTTGGGTAGGAATATTGTGATGACATAAAATCCGTACAATGAATGTTCAATTAATCACGGCTTTTTATTCCCATTATCACCAATGTCTAACGAAAACAGTCAAAATGATATAAATAAAGAACACGAACAAATATTATTTATTATACGAAAATGTATTATTATTAACATTTAAAATCTTCGTTAAATAGTACTGCATAACTTGGGATTTCGTCCACATCTATTCTCACATGCTCCGATTCTTCTGGAAAGGCTGGTGTAAGAATACGAGTAACTTTTGACATGATCACAGGCCGTTAAAGAGATGATTCATATTTTTTCGATAATAGATTGTGCTCTTCGAGCTGTCTTCGACAGAAATGGAAATTTGCTTTATTAACCTGGTAATAAAAAATATTTGCGATATCAGGACTTCATCTGTAATACATGTAAAACAAATACAACTGTTCGGTTTGATTTTTTTACTTCGCTATATTATCCTAAGCCTGTCCTTCGTTCTTGCGAACATGTTCACACCACAGTGATGAGCATTATTTTTGGGAAAAAGGAAAAGGTGAAATATGTAGAAAATGCGTTAAAAACCTTCAAATATAGATTCATCATTCTAAATAATTTCGATTACCACCGTAAATTCTAATCTGTTTTTGTGAGATAAGGCCATTCTTTTATTTTCTCTCCTTGTCTAAGTCATGAGCTGAGTCCGCTTTTTGTGCCTCCTCCAACAGCCAGATAATATGATCAAGGATTTTTTCCATGTCTTTCATACCATATCTTTGTACGCAATAAATAGAGTCTTACGTGATTCGATCCCGTAATCAAGATTCCCGTGCCTATTTTTCCCTCGATCAGCTTCTTCGGTATTATCTTTACTTGATGGTAAGTTGCAGAGGCGAGATAGGAATATGAATTGATACTTTTTTTGGCCTCGTAGATTACATCGATGGGAGATGTTGTAATGCAAGTTTGTAATCAAAAGTTTACGTAACGCTTCTTTATGCTTCTCATTCTTAGTGTCGGCACAATCACACGAAGAAGTGGGATATACATCAATGCTAGGATTCAGATCATCGCTATGCCCATAGAGTTCCACAATGTTCCACACTTGAAGATTCATTCGTTAAATGGTTTCGAGGAAGTCTCTACAAACACTGTTAGCTTGAAGTTGTCTTTTGATGCTAGCGACTGCAATATCTCACACCATTCTTTTGATATATTTCACGTATAGCGACTTTGAGGTTTTGGAGGGTTACATGTCTGATATTTCCTGTCATTTTTATGCCATTTCGGACTAACAACAACGTCGAAGTCTGAAAAGATTTTTGCTTGGTTAATAAAAAATTTCGGGCAGTAATTTGATCGTGATACCAGTCTACTTCGTACCCTGTGGGTAGGATTTTCTTTAACAAACAAGGACATATTCATAGGCTGATATCTTTGTCACGGTTTTTATAACTGCTGAAAAAATTCATACCGTAGACGGACTTGACCAACGCCCGCAATGAGGCAACCTCGTCAAGTAATGTCTGTTCACGACTCGAAATAGTAGTTGAAACAGGAGAGTCGACTAAGATATGAACACTCTTATTCTTAGGCCGTTTCTCGGGACAGTGGTCTTCTATTCCCTTGTTACAAGAAGTTCGGGTTAGTCCTGAAGTGAGAGATTGCTACTGATCGGAATTTCCACTTTCCATAATTTGAGCTTGTCTGAATTGACGAACTCTGGTGCATTTTCCTTTTGAAGAATTTTTTAGTTCACTAATAGGCTCATCTCTACTAATAACAGAGAAAGTGTTCGCAGTGTATAATTTACCTTTGACGAGACAGAATAAATGATAGACATATAATATTTCCTTCACGAGGACAAGTATGAAAAACGAACAAAAAAAAAACCTAATCATTCTGTCGTACAAACACAGCCTACTTCGATAATTTATCACTGGATCTTTCTCACAACCCCTTTTCCATTTTTAGTAAGCCGTAATGATTACTAAATCTATAGTTATTAGTCCTCCGCTATTATTATTATCACATGATACTCTACACAATGAACAGAGGGTAACGTGACTATTAACTATTTTTAATGAAAATATGATGAAACTAATAATTCAATGTATTTTTTTAACCTTTTATGACAGTAACATGTATCAATCGTATCATGCACATAGTTTAATTCATGTGACGAGACTTGAATAAAAGCCAAAAATTGCAAAATTAATCTTTCAAAAAAATATTTAATTAGCCATTAATTGTCTTTCACGGCGTAGTCTAGAATGAACTTTATATTGACCACAATGAACACATAGCCATGTAATTGAATTGGTCCCACAACCACAAGAAATACAAGGAGAAGGGGGCGTAGTACCTCTTCGTTTAATGGCAAAAGCATGCATCCCACAGTACTCATTTTTTGTGGGACGAGTGTAAAAATCTTTTGTCCCCTTAATCAACCAATGACACGGCATAATATATACTTAGCTTATATGTACTAGAGCATATTTCAAATGCTTAAAAAGAGAAGACAGGTAAGAGTAAATGGGAATATGTAGACAGATATATGTAAGAAGACGGGTGGGTAGACAGGTATGAGTAACTATTATATTTTATATATCGAACGAACCTCATTACTATTTCATTGTTAATCTTTCCTATTATGGAAAATTTAAATAAAAGCTGCATTTACCAAAAATTGAATAATATTAATTGCCGATCAATATTGTTGTGTTTCCTGTGTATTTTATCTAGTCTTCTTTTTAAGAATTTCGTTGCCGATCATGAAATCATTGCCATACAACATTTTCTAACATAAATAACGTTTCATTATTTTTTTGCTTTATTATTTTTTGTATTTTACATACGAATTAATAACATATTCCTTATTCAACAAATAATTTATTAAAATGGATGAAGTTAAACTAAGTGATGATGTATTTGAACAAATAAAAGATTTTAATCGTCGTTCTTTGACTGAAGAACAAGAATCGTTAATTGATAAACTGATATTAAATGAAGAATTAAAAAATCGTTATAAATTGTTTGGTTTATGTTATGAATGTAAACAGCCTAATATTAGTTTCAATTGTCAAGCATGTGATTTTAAATATTTTCAACAAAATTTCAAAAATTGGACAAGTGGAAATCATGACGTTGATGAATTTATTCAAAAAACACAATTAAAAGCTAAACACGGATACCAACTTATAGAGTGGATTGAATATGATGAATTTGAAGACATTGAATATTTAGCAAAAGGAGGATTTGGAATTACTTTTAAAGCAATTTGGAGAGAAGGACCTATAAAGAAATATAGTCAAGGGAAAAGAAGGGGTAGAACGGAAGTCGCTTTAAAATGTTTACATAACTCACAAGACATTACAGCAGATTTTTTAAAAGAAGTATGACATTTTCTTATATATTTTAGTTTTATTAACCTTTATAAATTAACTAACTATATTTTTCTTTTAAGATTGAGTCAAATATTTTAGCATGTGATGTTTTTATAGTTCGTTGTTATGGTATTACTAAAGATCCAAAAACGAATAATTTTGTGATGGTGATGCAATTACAAGAAGGTAGTTTAAGACAATATTTAAATAACAATTTCATTTCACTAGATTGGGAGAAAAAGTTGGGTTTTTTATATTGTATTACAAGGGGTCTTAAAACAATTTATAAAAGAGGATTGATTCATCATGATCTTCATTGTGGAAATATATTAAGTGGTCATGGTAATACTTATATTACCGATTTAGGATTATGTCAACCAGCAAATGTAAAAAGTTCACAGGATGGTAATAAAAAAATATATGGAGTATGTCCTTATGTTGCTCCAGAAGTTTTAAGAGGAAAAGAATATACTCAAGCAAGTGATATTTATGGATTTGGAATTATTGCATATGAAATTTGTACAGGATTGCCTCCTTATCATGATGTAGCTCATGATGATTTCTTAGCAATGAAAATTTGTCAAGGATTAAGACCAACTTCTAATTATAAAATTCCTCAACTACTTTTTGACATAATTATTCAATGTTGGGATGCGAACCCTTTAAAACGACCTAAAGCAGATGAATTATGTAAGTCAATACGTAAAATGATGATTAGCAACATTAGCAAACAAAAAGATTCTGTAATCTACAAACAAGGCGAAGAAGCTAATGAAATTAACAAAAAGTCATCACTAACAGTTCAGTCAACATTATCGTCCACCGGTACACTCTCATATACAACACATCCTCAAGCAGTTTACATTAGTAAACTTTTAGACTTTAAAAATCTTCCAGAACCAAAAAATGCAGACAATAATGAAATAGAATATTCAGGTAAACATATAATTTAATATATGATTATAATCTAATATTCTAATTTTATAATGCTAACAACTAATATTTAATATAGATACTTTAAAAATAGATTTCACTAAACTTGATATTAATTCTAAAGGTAATTACTTTTGCACATGATATTTTTGATCTATTAAATTAATTTAACTAAATGATTATTTTATTGTAGATGAAAGTAATTAAACGTAGTTATTTGAAATTGAAATATTTAGGATATAAAATTTATATTCGATTTTTTATATTTTTTATTTTTATTTTGAACTTTGTGAGAGATCAAGTATAATGTCATAATTTTATTCTTACACATTTGATATGTTTGAAGATTTACAACTATTGTAGTAAAATTTTTTATGATTATAAATAAAGTATCGTCTTTTTTATTATTTATTTATTATAGCAGTTATCTTGCAATTGCATAATATATTCTGCAAAAAATTAATTAATCATTCATTAAATGTTTTTCACGCCAAAGTCTCATCAGTTCATTATGTTGACCACATGAAATACATAAATGAGTAACCGAATTTGTTCCAGGGGGAGATTAGCGAATGATGAAATGATATGCATCAAGGGTATTTAAGCGTTAAAATATGAGAGTAAGAGAAATGAAAATTTTAATGTGATGGAGTAACGGCACAAAAATTTTACTTTGTGAGAGATCAAAGATAATGTTATAATGTTATTCTTGGGACATTTGATGGGAATATACGCTGGTGATCAAAATAATTGGAATAGTGAATGTAGAAAATGACTCTTTTAGACTGTTTCTAATGCATTTTACCCTTTTCTTTTTCCAAAAAAATATGCTCACACTGTAATAACGCTAAAAAAAACTTATTATACGAATTTTTTTAATAAATTTGATTATAAAATGTAAATAAGTATCGTCTTTTTTATTTATTATAGTACGTACTCATTCAACGAATATATTAAATTCGTAATAAAAAATGTTGATGTTTACAAAGATTCTATTTCGTCATTGGAATGTAAATCTGCCCTAATTATTATTACATAGTAGAATTTTTTATGACCTCATGACTAAAGATTTCTTTTTTGGTTAAGATTCTGATTTTGATTAATGGAATCATGGAAACTGAACTCAGTTCTCGTTTAATAAAAAATTATCATAGGCACTGCGGTAGTTCTCTTGACTTTCCTGAAATGCCCATCATTGTGGCAAGATAGTTTCGAAGGTAATCATAGTACTCTACCTAGAGGGTACGGAGTAGATGTCAGAAATAATTGTACAAATATAAAGTGAGCCTTAATTGTTATCTAAATAAGCTACCGTACTGATAAGCAATATAATATCCAGTTGAATTTATAATATTTCTTGGCAAGCTCAATCCTTTGGATAAATAGTATAAGCAACTATATCTTGTAAGGCCAGAAATAGTAGGGCCATGTTCTCTTAGTAAAATTCAGAGACAGAGCGTCAGAGTTATTATTAAGTTCTATTTTTCAGGCTAGTTACACAAAGTATAACAATTTAATGATACAATGCAACTGTGACCTCTAGGTCACGGTCTCATAGTTATCGATATCCGCAGTTGATATCCGCAGAAGTCACATGATTTTCCGGAAAGACAGTCTACATTCCTACCGATAAAGAAGTTACTACGAGATAATGGTACAATGCAACTGTGACCCATTAGTCCGTGGGACCTTCAAAGAAGTGAGAGTATCTCCTAAAACCTCTAGTTTAATAAGACCTTTGGTCTTATGGCAATGGCTAACATATATACGTGGAGACATGAAGCGTGGTATCATATGTTCTGCATATTGTTGTTATCGACAACTATCATTTTATAGTTTTTTACTCTCTATCTTTCTAGGAACGTAGTTCATAGTTTCTCAAGTTCTAGAAGGATTCTAGGGTCACGGTCTCATAGTTGACTATCTTTGTATAACACAATATCTTTCTATTAACCGATAAGAACTAATAACCCGTTACTCGTCACTTGTGCATAGGTAAAATATCTAACTTCATTTTCATGATCATTGTGTTCATACTATAACAATACCATAACAATAGATTTTTTACAGGCAACTTGCTGCGAGATGGTCTTCACAATAAATGTAATACACAGTTATCGACAATAATTATAATAGTATGGGCAAAGCTTTCACTGGAGTCCAGAAGAATTTCGCAATACACTAGATACGTTAAGCATATCCCTTAATTAGAACCAAATTGTTCAGCATAATTATCACTCGACTTTACCCACTATGTGCTGTATACAACTGATATTTAATTCAGAAAGAACAGTCATCGGGCTGGTAGTGTGTCTCGCTAGCGCTCACCCCACCTCGGCCACGGCCTCGCAGTACCTACATCCCCCTCCGTGGGGGTATGACTCCCCATATATCTGTCCATATCTGTCCCCATATCTGTCCCATAAATATATAACCAAAAACCAGAAAACAATAGAAAAGGAAGCAAAAGAAGAGAGAATAAGAGGGGGGGGACAGATGGGACAAATTGGACAGATATTTCAGAAATATAGGAAAGGACATCCCCCCAGAAAAAGTTTTATTTTTACCCCCAAAATGCGTCCCATCGGTCCCGTCTGTCCCAAAAAATCTGTCCCACATTTCTTAGCCTCCAATCGGCTTTTCGAACTGATAACAGGTAGGTCAGCGGGTAGGTTTATATCTTCGGTTAGCGGGTTGATTACTTTTATGTAAAGCGAACGCAGTGAGCAAGTAAGCGGGTAATCTGCACTTCTAACATACTCAGGTAAACATATTACTCTGACATGCAAGTATAATCCCTAGAAGGTCTGTAGAACCGCAGGAGGATAACCGGGTAGGAGCGCGGATCTTTGGAAAAAATACATTCGGCAATTGAAGATTAGGTAACTATAAATTAGTACTCGATTTGATAGAACGAAAAAATGACCGCTCAAGCTCAAGTTATCCCTAAGTTCGGTGAACAAACGAAAGCCTTCAGTATCGATGAGCTTAAACGGCTTATTGTCGCTGCAAAGAGTATGAGTGACCTCGATCAAGCCAAGAGGTATCTTTGCAGTTATTTCATTCCCTGTGCAGATCCTCATGGGGTTTTCTGGTGGGACCCGGATAGTAAAAGTTTGAAACACGTTATTGACAAAAATATTGGTAAACTTATCCGTCCAATCACGAAGGCATTCTACACACAACCTGAACAAGGACCCTCTCAAAAGACCGAGTTCAACATCTACAAGTGGTTTATGGTCGAGAATACCGATGTATGTAATGCAACCTGTGATCCCCATAAACAGCGAATCTTCAGATCCTTAACC